TTTCTTTGTGGCCTTAGTTGGGGGGGGACGGATCGGGGTCGATCTGAATCTGGTGGGGGGGCGGGGTGGGGATCCCTGCCCCGTCCCCCACCCTATCTGCGCGCCTGAACTTGGTGCAATGTCAAGCAAACACATCTCCAGAATAAATGGCTCCCTCTCTCAGTATGCAACACGCTGCCTTCCATGACAAAAGTAATTTGTTTGGAGATACGAGAGCAGAAAACCATGCTCAGCCTTCCGTTCAGATCGTTTTCGGAGAAGCGTCAAATCTAATGATGTAGAGGCGGATTGCGTCGTGGAGAGATGCAGATACCCTCGGTTACTTTTAGTGGTCAAGTCCTGCTTGTTTTTGGTAATAAGTCATCCGCTCTGACTGCAGCTCATTTGTCACTTCTGCTTTATGTCTGCATCCTTTTCTGCTTAGTCATGCTTTCCCTCATCCTCTGAGTTTCTGAGAGTCCCTCGATAACACCTTCACTCGTTCCATGCTCCGTACGGACGGCATCTGTCACTTTGTGGCTCACTGATTCGTTTTTGTTCTGCAGCATCACCACACTCTAAAAAAAAACTCCCAAAGCTTTTGATTTAAAAATGTTAAACCTAGGGATGAGCCGGATACTGGTTTCAGACGAGTATCCGGTACGGATAAAGCATTTTTGACGAGTACGAGCATGAAACGAGTAAACCTCGTAAATATCTGTAATCGTGCTGAAGGAAAATCCTCATTGGGTAACTGACTGTCTTCACGCTCTGTGATTGGCCAGTCACATAGAGCGCCCGCCCCTCCCTACATACAAAACTCTCTAGACAGCCGGGAGTGCAGTCCGTCCGGCCCATCCATGCACACACACAGACAGTAACGGATCTCACTGTGATTGCTTCACTGTTGCTCACGTTTCTTCAGTTTTCCCTAGGTTTTCTTCAGCTCGCCTCTTTTTCGGTTGAATATTTAAAGTGACTTTTTTCGTAACTTACATGGTGCATTTGACAAGACAGAGCTGACGTGCTGCATCAGTCACTCCCTACCTCCGCTCCGGTCGTTTTTTTTTTAACTCCCTCTCTCTCCCTCTCACCCTCTCTATCTCTCTCGGACACACACACATTAATCAACATTGTTTTGTTTAACTGTGTGGGGCAAAATGCCAAGAACGTTAAGAAAAAAATCTGTTTAATCAAATTTAAATAAAAATATGCATAAAGTTGTGTCTGGTTCTAGCATTTCATATTTCCTAGTTCCTACTGCATGAGTTCAGATGTATTAATCCATGCACTTAAATATTAATGTTCTGATTTTATTGAAAAACTTGTTCTGTAATAGTTCCTTTACTATTGTGATCAAAAATATTTAATCTCAACTCTGAGGCTGCTCTGTAAATAGTTTTCAAATAAACAATACACATAGCCACTTCTGATCAATCCATATCAATTTCAGACTTAAAATAATATATTGATGTAAACCACACCCATTTCCGGGTTATGCCACGCCCATTCCGAGTACAGATACAGATACAGATAGTGGTGTTCTCGCTCATCCCTAGTTAAACCTAAACTTAAATCAAACGTTTTCTTTACATGTCGCAGTCTTTCAATAGAGAATCAAAGCAGAACATTAAAACCTACTTCATCCATGAAATAAATATTACACACTTAATAAAAAGTCATCTACATAGTTTATGTTGGAATAGTACTCGGAAAAGAACAATAAACAAACCTTTTATTACTGCTTTGAGGTATAAAAGAAAAGGGAAGAATGTTTACTTGTGTCGCACTAAGCAAGTCAGTAATCTAAAATGTGTTATTTTAAATAATATCTAAATTTGCAGGTCAGCTGCTTAGTAGAGCATATATGACTTCCTGTATTTTACTAAAACATGCCGAACTCAGCTAGAAAATAAACTACTAAACTATAACATTTTCATTTAGGTTATTTAAATAAAAAATAAAACATTATGTTCCTTTATTTTAATGAGTACTTTTATATTGTTATTAAATTACATTATTAATATCAGGATGAACATGAAAAAAAACAGTATAGAATTTGATTTTTTTAAATGACTTTCTAAATTTCCTCAGCTGTGAGTGTGTATGTGCTTGGTTGTTTGTCCTGTGTGTCTCTGTGTTGCCCTGCGATGGGCTGGCACCCCATCCAGGGTATACCCCGCCTGTTTGCCCAGAGACTGCCCGGAAGCACCCGCGACCCTGCACAGACAAGCGGCTACAGAAAACGGTTGGATAGATAACACCGTAGACATCAATACATAGACACTCCATTGGGCGCTGGAGAGAGTAACAGCATTGCCGCCATATTGGAGGGGTCTCCTTACTCTCCAAAGACAATGCAGAGTGAGCAACTATGGCCGTTTTTGTGCAGCCTACGGTTGCAACAACCAGCGTACTTTTGAAAATAGATCACTGTTACTATTGACTGCTTGGATTTTGTGTTTTTATTTATTTAGTTTAATTGTATTTATATTTTAATTGTCATGCCATTCCATGTGTCTGATTTTGTGAAAAAAAAAAACATAAGGAAATGTGTTGAAAGAAATGTTTTTTAGTTGGAGAAGCACCTTCCCCAGTTGCAGAGGGGGCAACTTGAGACCCATCTATGATAGCGACCAGGCACTACAGCAGCTCCTGTAGGAAGCACCAGTCCACGGGGCGTCTATGGGACACTATACCAACAGTAAAGCCATACAATTAGCCCTTTCTACCTGTAGATCCTCCACCAGGGGGCAGCAGACATGTATAGGACTGGATGTGGTGGGTGTCTGATGAAAGTACTAATCCTGATGCTTCATCTAGATTCTTTAAAGAGACGGTGTGTAGTTTTTAACCGTTAATCTCTGGAAATATCCTTGTAGTTAAAATTGATGGTTGGTAAGGTCTTACTCGAATACAAAAATACCTCTTCCTTACAGTGATTTAGGTATGTACTACCCCCTATCGCCAGGGAAAATACAAATTTTCACTTTAGGCCAGAATTGGTTTGATGTAAATTAGCGATGATCTAAAATGAGTTAATTAGCTTTTTATTGCATTAATTTATTAAAAGCTATTAATTTCCACATTTCTAAAACATTTATATAAAATGTTTTAGAAAATTTAGAAACACACCACTTTCTTTACTAAGTTTTTTAATAAACTAATACATGGCATAAACTCAGAACACACTCTGCAGTCACTCTGGGTATTTGGCACTAATTCTGCCCTGGCACGACACCTTCTACACAGTTTGACCCACAGCTCCTCCTATCCACATGCCCTTGAACGTGACTCTGAACCTCAAATTGTTCCCAGTTGTCAGACAAGCACCTCACGCTTTAACGGAGTGTTTGTGAATGGCTCATTAGGGAGAAAATGCGAAGCGATTTGAATTTAAGTGTTGTATAAATGCAGCTGGTCACAATTTCTCATTGCAGTCGACAATTGTGGATGGTTGAATGCTGCTGTTGATTCGAATAAAACTATTAGTCATTTTGAAATGACTTAATGTGGTCAGAGATTCAGTTTTAGATTCATGCACTTGGTTTCTGTTATGATGGCACCCCAAACATCATGTATTGAGGATATTTCAGGTAGTATTAGGGGTTACTGTAGGTCTCGACAGAGAATGGGGAAGCAGGTTGGTCTTTAATTGTTAATTTCAATGTTTTTATACCAATGTTTCTGCATGTTTTTCCTTTAATTAAAATACAGATAGGCACTGAACAGCTTAGGAATAGCTAGGACAAAAGAATCCTTAATTTATCCAACAACTACAGATTAAAATCTGGCTCCTTAAATATAACATGTAAGACCCTCTTCACTTGATAGGAAAATCTTTTTTGACCAGATCTTCCCTTTCTGACAATCTGGACAAGCCTGATTACCGTAAAGGCTCTAAAGATATTCTCATCAGATAATCCTACCATGTGTGATGTGTTTTGAGCTCTCTGGTCTGTTCGAAAGCACGTCGAGACGGCTGTAGTTTGATCGTGTGAGATTTCCTGTCTGACCGGAGAATGTTCCATGTGTGTCATTGGATGCTGTGTTGTTTTTGCTGCATTGCTGCACACCAAACACTGTAACATCAAAAATAATAACTTCATGATAATTTATCTGCATGTGTGGGGTCTCGTGTCTGGAAATTCGGCCGTCGATGTAAAAGTCTTACCGTGTGAACTGGGCTTAAGGCGGCAAGAAAAGGAGAAAAACATTACCAATAAAGAATTGATGCCTTCTTGCAAACTCTGTCCTGAAAATGTATGTACACAAATTTAACCAAAGCATTTACAAGGAACACGGGGCAGTCTATATACCCCCACCAGAAAAGCAGCTCCACAATCCTTTTCTAGATTCCTGACAGCTGAAACTTGTAGGCTGAGTCCCAAAATCACCCATCTTTGTATTGCAAGCCATTGAGAACACAAGTATTGGGATTGGGTAATTGTACCAATATTGGGGTATCTTAAACATCATTTAATACTGTATTTTGTTCTCTCCCTTATCAAGTACCAACTGGAAAAGTTGTGTGTAAATAAAGTACTTCCTGTACAATTTCCTGTGGTACTCCTACCATTAAGCAGTTTTAAAATGATGCCTACTGTGTAGGAGTGAGACTGCAGTAACCGTGGTGCTTTAAAATGCTTTTAAACTTCATGCAGTAATTAGAAAAAATAAAATACATCAAACAATATAGAAATCCATTTATTGAGTATACTGCATTATATGGAAAACATAACAGTTGCAATGGTAACAAAAATCAATGAGGTTTGCTTCTTCCAGTCAACGAGTTCAGCTTAACTAAGCCCAGAAAAAAGTGTTAAAGCATTTTTACTTAATAGTCTGTGACATGCTTTTCGGTTTTCAGGGTTTATGCCAACGTCTGTCAGTTAAGTGCCATGATGCCGTTTGTATCATCATCACAAGATAGTAGGACAAAACCAACTCATCTGAAACACTTGCTGCCTCCTGCCTGTGAGTCTGACGCTTTGGTTCAACGGTTGTGGTCCTCTGTGTAGGAGGGTCCCTATGTGATGCTAAAGAAGAACTGGGAGATGTACGAGGGAAACGACCAGTATGAAGGCTACTGTGTGGATTTGGCTTCTGAGATCGCCAAACACATCGGGATCAAGTACAAGATTTCCATCGTTCCCGATGGGAAGTACGGCGCCAGGGATCCAGAGACGAAGATCTGGAACGGGATGGTTGGGGAGCTGGTGTACGGGGTATGTTCTTTTTTTTTACCACAAATTGTTCTAGTCATGTGGTTAAGAGTGTGGAGTAAACCAGCATTTCCAATCTGGATCTTTGATCCACAATTCTGCATGTTTTGCTGCTTTTACAATCCATTCTGCAGAACTTCATGACAAAGCTGCTGAGTTTTACTAAAACAGACTCATTTGAAACACAAAGGACTGTGTCTCATCGCCAGGACTGAAAAACACTAATGACGTCTTCACATCTGGCCTAGCCCAGTCCGGTCTTTGTATCGTCGGCCCACCCCTGCTAGGGTTCACACCGTGAAGTCTGAGGTTCACACAGCCTTCTCAGGAACGCAGATGTCTCCAAGCTTGTGGGCGGGGCAAAATAAACAAAAATGTTCGTGAATAGTGTTGTTTTTGGAGACTCTGATACACTCCATTCCAGATCTTCCCTTTCTGACAATCTGGACAAGCCTGCTTACTTTAAAGGCTCTAAAGATAATCTCATCAGATAATCCTACCATGTGTGATGTGTTCTGAGCTCTCTGGTCTATTCGAAAGCACGTCAAGACGGCTGTGTAGGAGAGAGACTGCAGTTAGTGTGGTGCTTCTGATGAAACATGCTTCCAACTTTGTCACTGCGTTCAGAGGGCTCCCTCTATAGGTAGGCGTGAAGCCAGCCAATCAGTCAGTAGTGGGTGTGTTGAGTCAGCTTGGCACGAAGCAAGAACTCTCCAGATTCCGCAGGATTATGGATTTACAGACTCTAACTTAATGTCTTAATTAACTGCAACTGGTGGTGACTAGTTAGACACAAAAGTATACGAATTAATGCAAATTTTCAGTCACAATTAAATGAGTTAGGCAAGTCGTACTAGGCGTATGATGTTATAGAAAACCACCTGCAGATGTGCAGATTTGATGAGACAAAGTGTTGTTTATGTCTTGTTTTCATGCTGTTTGTATTCATGAATGAAGGATAAATGACCCGCACTTGTGTAGCGCCTTTCAGAGTCAAAGGACTCCAAAGCGCTTTACACTACAGTGTATCATTCATCCATTCACACACACACATTCACATGCTGGTGGTGATGAGCTATGATGTAGCCACAGCTGCCCTGGGGCTTCCTGACAGGGGCGAGGCTGCGAACCACTGCCGCCACCAGTGGCCTAAGTGTCTTGCCCAAGGACACAACAGCAGCACTCTCTGCTGGGACTGAACCTACAACCTCTGATTACCGGACAACAGACTCTACCTCCTTAGCTACTGCTTCCCCCAGTTCAAGCTTCAAAGTTCAAAGTTGTGTTGCCAAGTCCTCTCAAAGTCATCTTACATTCCCCAAACTTTGTTAAAATTAAATCAAACTCTGACCTCTGTTCAGACGGCAAAGCTGATGTTCAAATTATTTCAAGAGTTCAAAATTTCAGCGACACAACATCAAGGCCCTGGGAGTTGCTTAGGAAATTGAAAACTTGCAGATGTTTTGAAACATTTTGCAAACTCTCATTCAAATGCTGAAATGCACGTTGTCTTCTTAAACTTTAGCTATCCACTATCTTCCACTGGGAAAATATGTTTGAATTTCTAAAGGAAATGTAAAATATAAGCAAATGATAAACGGTGACCCTCAAAAGCTCTTGATGCTGATGAAATTGGGCAAAATAAAATATAAGAACTTTATTGAAAGACACCAAACAATATTTTGAGTCAAAGAATGTATTTAGATAACAACTAAGGAAATATACAGACGAGCTCCACGTTAATACAAACAGATGTGGCTTCACATATAAGAACTGCTCTATATTTAGTCGGTCCGATGTTGGTTTTATGCAGTTTCACATTCTTTACAAAACAAAGATAATATGGTGTTTTATTAACAAATTACAATTATAAAGAAAACATTCAGGTGTTAACAAACAAGAATTTATTAACAAAACTGCTGATGTCTTTCAAAAACGTATGTGTGAAAGCCGAGTGGATTTGCAGTCATGTGACGCCATCAGCAGTCGAAGGACCCCGAGCCGATCCTGCACCCGAGCAGATCCTGTACCAACATAGGCTCAAGAAATGAGCATCAAAGTTTCTCTGGGGTCTTTTATTTTGCTTTTATTTTATTACCCAATTATTTCATGGCAATATGAATTTAAAATGTTTAGTTTAAAAAACCACCACGTTGATATTTATGTCAGCATTTACAATTAATGTATTGTTATATTTGATTCTAAATATGTGGTCAAATTTGGGTACGGAAGCCCATTTCACATCAATACCTCATATTTGGAAAATTTCAAGGTGTCCTTACTGTCATGTAAATATAATTTATCTTTGTCGTTTTATACGATTTCTCAGTTTGTTTGCAAAACGACCGGACCAATCACGCTCCGTCTGCAAATGCCGTTTTCATGTGTTTGTTGTGGATAATTGAGCCCACCTGAAATGAAAACGTGAGCCTTTAGAGCAGGACTTTATTCTTTGATGGGGTTAAAGAGGAGAAGTGGAGGTGTGGTGCTTGTTAAAGCTTGTTAAAAAGGTGGCATTTGATTGGGCATTTACGCCTGTTTCTACTGCTGACCTCGCTATGGTTAAAAAAGATGCATAAACATGAGATAATGTAGGCTTTTCAGGAGCTCTTTGTGCATTTTTGGAAGAAAAGCTCTAACCAGATAATCAGGTATGACCTTTATGTTTAGTTAGGATCTAATTCTCATTTTTTGTAATTCATGTCAACATCCCTGCAAACAGTCAACGTCACATGGATGTGCAGATCATGTCTACAGGGAGTGCAGAATTATTAGGCAAATGAGTATTTTGTCCACATCATCCTCTTCATGCATGTTGTCTTACTCCAAGCTGTATAGGCTCGAAAGCACACTACCAGTTAAGCATATTAGGTGATGTGCATCTCTGTAATGAGAAGGGGTGTGGTCTAATGACATCAACACCCTATATCAGGTGTGCATAATTATTAGGTAACTTCCTTTCCTTTGGTAAAATGGGTCAAAAGAAGGACTTGACAGGCTCAGAAAGGTCAAAAATAGTGAGATATGTTGCAGAGGGATGCAGCAGTCTTAAAACTGCAAAGCTTCTGAAGCGTGATCATCGAACAATCAAGCGTTTCATTCAAAATAGTCAACAGGGTCGCAAGAAGCGTGTGGACAAACCAAGGTGCAAAATAACTGCCCGTGAACTGAGAAAAGTCAAGCGTGCAGCTGCCAAGATGCCACTTGCCACCAGTTTGGCCGTATTTCAGAGCTGCAACATCACTGGAGTGCCCAAAAGCACAAGGTGTGCAATACTCAGAGACATGGCCAAGGTGAGAAAGGCTGAAAGACGACCACCACTGAACAAGACACACAAGCTGAAACGTCAAGACCGGGCCAAGAAATATCTCCAGACTGATTTTTCTAAGGTTTTATGGACTGATGAAATGAGAGTGAGTCTTGATGGGCCAGATGGATGGGCCCGTGGCTGGATTGGTAAAGGGCAGAGAGCTCCAGTCTGACTCAGACACCAGCAAGGTGGAGGTGGAGTACTGGTTTGGGCTGGTATCATCAAAGATGAGCTTGTGGGGCCTTTTCGGGTTGAGGATGGAGTCGAGCTCCACTCCCAGTCCTACTGCCAGTTTCTGGAAGACACCTTCTTCAAGCAGTGGTACAGGAAGAAGTCTGCATCCTTCAAGAAAAACATGATGTTCTTGCAGGACAATGCTCCATCACACGCGTCCAAGTACTCCACAGCGTGGCTGGCAAGAAAGGGAATAAAAGAAGAAAAACTGATGACATGGCCTCGTTGTTCACCTGATCTGAACCCCATTGAGAACCTGTGGTCCATCATCAAATGTGAGATTTACGAGGGAAAACGGTACACCTCTCTGAACCGTGTCTGGGAGGCTGTGGTTGCTGCTGCACGCAATGTTGATGGTGAACAGATCAAAACACTGACAGAATCCATGGACGGCAGGCTTTTGAGTGTCCTTGCAAAGAAAGGTGGCTATATTGGTCTTTGTTAACTAGCAGTGTTAGAAGAAATACTAGTTTGGATTACTTTTAAAAGTGACAAATAAAATAAAACATAAGCAGCTGTTACAAGGTTTTGCTTATGAATTAAAGGAAAGGACTCAGCATTGGGGTAATGCCTCAGTTGTCACAAATCCTAGATCAAATGAACAAATAGACACCAGTAATGACAATGTAAGGCAGAGCTACTAAAAGGTATGAGGAGGAATACTCAAATGGAACGGGCAACATGGTTCACATCTTCACTGAAGTTGAGCAGCCACAGACGTCATATATGTAGACACCCCGAGGACTGGCGCTGCCATAGTGGCTGGCTGCCATCTTGAATGGGTCTCCATTCGCCCCCAGTGCATTTGTCTATATGGAGGAAGGTGCTTACTCAGGTAAAAAACACATTTTATTAAGCATTTTTACTAAATCAGACAAATGGTATGGTATGATAGATATAATATAAATCTAATTAAATAAATATAAAAAATAAAATTTAAAATCCCAACAGATAGACCAGACAAGTCCCAGAAAAGTCCCATGTGATCTATTTTCAATAGTGCGCCGATTGTTGCAATCGTTGGCTGTACAAAAACAGGCATAGTTGCTCATTCTGCATTGATTTCCAGTTGAGTTTGAAGAGAAGGAGCAATGTGGTTTTCGTCCTGGCCATGGCACACTGGACCATCTCTAAACCCTTAGGGGGATCCTGGAGGGTGCGTGGGAATTTGCCCTACCAATCTACATGTGTTTTGTGGATTTGGAGAAGGCATTTGATGGCGTCCCTCGGGAGGCCCTGTGGGGGGTACTCCAGGAGTATGGGGTACCAGGCCCTCTGATATGGGCTGTTAGATCCCTGTATGACTAGTGTCAAAGCTTGGTCCGCATTGCCGGCAGCAAGTCGGGCTCGTTCCCAGTGAGAGTTGGACTCCGCCAAGGCTGCCCTTTGTCACCGGTTCTGTTTGTAACCTTAATGGACAGGATTTCTAGGTGCAGCCAAAGTGTGGAGGGCATCCATTTTGGTGGCCTGAGGATCAGATCTCTGCTTTTTGCAGATGATGTGGTCCTGTTGGCTTCATCAGAACGTGATCTTCAACTTTCGCTAGAGCGTTTTGCAGCTGAGTGTGAAGCAGCTGGGATGAGAATCATCTCCTCTAAATCTGAGACCACGGTCTTGGTTTGGGAAAGGGTAGAATGCCTTCTCCGGGTCAGGGACGAGGTCCTGCCACAAGTGGAGGAGTTTAATTATCTCTGGGTCTTGTTCACGAGTGAGGGAAAACTGGAGCGTGAGATCGATAGGTGGATCGGTGCTGCATCTGCAGTGATGCGGGCGTTGTACCGGTCTGCCGTGGTGAAGAGGGAGCTGAGTCAGAATGTGAAGCTCTCGATTTAATGGTCAATCAACGTTCCTACCCTCACCTATGGTCATGAGCTTTGGGTAGTGACCGAAAGAACAAGATCGCGGATACAAGCGGCCGAAATTAGTTTTCTCTGCAGAGTGGCTGGGCTCTCCCTTAGAGATAGGGTGAGAAGCTTGGTCATCCGGGAGGGGCTCGGAGTAGATTTGCTGCTCCTCTACATCGAGAGGAGCCAGTTGAGGTGGCTCGGGCATCTGGTCAGGATGCCTCCTGGACGCCTCCCTGGTGAGGTTTTCCGGGCACGTCCAACTGGTAGGAGGCCTGAACGTTTACCTTGGACACGGTGGAGGGACTATGTCTCTCACCTGGCCAGGGAACGCCTTGGGATTTCCCTGAAGGAGCTGGCCCAAGTGGCTGGGGAGAGGGAAGTCTGGGCCTCTCGACTTAGGCTACTGCCCCCACGACCCGACCCTGGATAAGTGGATGAAGATGGATGGATGGATGGATGGATGGATGGATGGAATGAGAGACCCATCTAATATGGCAGTGATGCTGTTACATTTTTCAGCGCCCAATGGGGATATACATATTCGTGCCTATGTGCAACAAGCAGCTGACCTGGGAGAATCTAAACAAGCCAGTGGAAATACATTCATAGCAGCATGTTTAGGTTACATGAAATAGAAATGTGTTTTTTAACAGGTTTAAAAATCCCCACCAAATTCTAGCCTGGTGAATTAGACCAAATTCTGCAAATTTGTGTTATGAAAATATGTGGCGTTATGTACGTTACCAAAAAAGATGAAATAACTGAAAACGTGTTTTATGTTCTATTTTCTTCTAAATAGCCACCATTGCCTCTGATTACTGCTTTGCACACTCTTTGCATTCTCTTGATGAGAGAATATAAAACATGTTTTCAGTTACTTCACCTTTTCTGGTTAAGTACATAACTCCACATGTGTTCATTCAGTTTTGATGCCTTCAGTGAGAATCTACTAATGTAAATGGTCATGAAAATAAAGAAAACACATTGAATGAGGTGTGTCCGAACTTTTGGCCTGTACTGTACATATATATATATATATATATATATATATATATATATATATATATGTATACAGTGGGGCAAAAAAGTATTTAGTCAGCCACCGATTGTGCAAGTTCTCCCACTTAAAATGATGACAGAGGTCAGTAATTTTCATCATAGGTACACTTCAACTGTGAGAGACAGAATGTGAAATAAAAATCCATGAATTCACATGGCAGGATTTTTAAAGAATTTATTTGTAAATCAGGGTGGAAAATAAGTATTTGGTCAATAACAAAAAATCAACTCAATACTTTGTAACATAACCTTTGTTGGCAATAACAGAGGTCAAACGATTACTATAGGTCTTTACCAGGTTTGCACACACAGTAGCTGGTATTTTGGCCCATTCCTCCATGCAGATCTTCTCGAGAGCAGTGATGTTTTGGGGCTGTCGCCGAGCAACACGGACTTTCAACTCCCTCCACAGATTTTCTATGGGGTTGAGGTCTGGAGACTGGCTAGGCCACTCCAGGACTTTCAAATGCTTCTTACGGAGCCACTCCTTTGTTGCCCGGGCGGTGTGTTTGGGATCATTGTCGTGTTGGAAGACCCAGCCACATTTCATCTTCAAAGATCTCACTGATGGAAGGAGGTTTTGGCTCAGAATCTCACGATACATGGCCCCATTCATTCTGTCCTTAACACGGATCAGTCGTCCTGTCCCCTTAGCAGAAAAACAGCCCCAAAGCATGATGTTCCCACCCCCATGCTTCACAGTAGGTATGGTGTTCTTGGGATGCAACTCAGTATTCTTCTTCCTCCAAACACGACGAGTTGAGTTTATACCAAAAAGTTCTACTTTGGTTTCATCTGACCACATGACATTCTCCCAATCCTCTGCTGTATCATCCATGTGCTCTCTGGCAAACTTCAGACGGGCCTGGACATGCACTGGCTTCAGCAGCGGAACACGTCTGGCACTGCAGGATTTGATTCCCTGCCGTTGTAGTGTGTTACTGATGGTGACCTTTGTTACTGTGGTCCCAGCTCTCTGCAGGTCATTCACCAGGTCCTCCCGTGTGGTTCTGGGATTCTTGCTCACCGTTCTCATGATCATTTTGACCCCACGGGATGAGATCTTGCGTGGAGCCCCAGATCGAGGGAGATTATCAGTGGTCTTGTATGTCTTCCATTTTCTGATACTTGCTCCCACAGTTGATTTTTTCACACCAAGCTGCTTGCCTATTGTAGATTCCCTCTTCCCAGTCTGGTGCAGGTCTACAATTCTTTTCCTGGTGTCCTTCGAAAGCTCTTTGGTCTTGGCCATAGTGGAGTTTGGAGTCTGACTGTTTGAGGCTGTGGACAGGTGTCTTTTATACAGATCATGAGTTCAAACAGGTGCCATTAATACAGGTAACGAGTGGAGGACAGAAAAGCTTCTTAAAGAAGTCGTTACAGGTCTGTGAGAGCCAGAGATTTTCCTTGTTTGAAGTGACCAAATACTTATTTTCCACCCTGATTTACAAATAAATTCTTTAAAAATCCTGCCATGGGAATTCATGGATTTTTTTTTCACATTCTGTCTCTCACAGTTGAAGTGTACCTATGATGTAAATTACTGACCTCTGTCATCATTTTAAGTGGGAGAACTTGCACAATCGGTGGCTGACTAAGTACTTTTTTGCCCCACTGTGTGTGTGTGTGTATATATATATATATATATATATATATATACATATATATATATATATATATATATATATATATATATATATATATATATATATATATATATATATATATATATATATATATGCGTGTGTGTGTGTGAGTGTCATGACTCCCAACCCTTCACCCTCCTCAGCCTTCATGCAGCACACCTGGTCTCATCATCAAACCCCAGCCAAGCCCTGTTTCCCTGACTACCACAATCAGCTTCATCCACTTCACCTGCTTCAGACTCCTCAGCTCATCACTCACACCTGTTTCCTCTGCTACAAAAGAACCAGCCGTCCAGTCATTCAGTGCCAGATTATTGAAGACTTTGTGCCAGTAAATTCTCCAGCAATTCACCCTGCCTGATCTCTGCCTCCGGACCTCGTTTTTCTCCCGACCCCTGCCTGAACGCTGCCTGCCTCCACGACCTTCACCTGTCCCCTACCTCGCCTCTTGCCTGTTCCCCGTATCTGCATGTCCGATCTGGTTTTTACCCTCGCCTCCTCTCCGACTCTGTCTCCAGCCTCGCCCAACTCTGGTAACTCTGCTTCAAATAAAGATTATATTTTTACTGTGTTTGGCGTCTTCACGGGTCTTCCTAGTTCAGTTCATGACAATATATACATATACATTTTTCCATCAGTTTCACTTTTACATAAACTTTTATAATAGCATAATAGCGTTGGCTCTATTAGGAATTAGGTCAGTATCAGAGTCTACTTATCCATAATGAGGTCATTCAAAGAGGTATTTATAATGGGAAAGGTTGTTATTGTTAATAAAAGTTAAGAACCATTCATGTGTAAAGAAAAAGCCTCCTTTTTAGGGTAAAGTAGTTTTTTTCAACATTTTCCCTTGAAATTAAGATTTTAAATAAGACTTGGGGTAAAAAAGGAAAGTAACATAAAGAATAAGCTGTCCCAGTCAGTGGAACGGCTGCAGAAACAGTTTATGCAACATTCATGGCAACATTTGGAGACACAGAAATCGTCAGCACTTTCAAATCCGAGACGTTTCCACTGAAGTCCATTCATTTCTTCTCAACTTTCCCTGAAAAGACCTAAATATTGTCCTCTTTTTAACCTGTCCCGTATTTTAGCATACATCAGTGCCTCCAGGCTGTCATCTTAGAGCATTTTGCTGAGCATATAGGAACTGAAATCTCTTTCATTTTCACTCCTCTGGTTCTGTTTTCTTCATAAGAGCGAGATGGCTGTAATGAAAGTTTAAGTTCTCTCTGAGAGTAAGCCCTCTGCTTCCAAGCCGGGTGGACGGGGTTGCTGAGGCACAAGCTGTAATCTGGTTTTTGGATTTTCAAAGAGCCAGTTTGCACTTTTCCACAGATGCATAATCCGAGAGGTCGCAGTATACTATTTTTTGCTGTCCTCTGATGTAATCATATTTCAATGGCGTTATTTTACCCTCTCTGCTGATTCTTCTGAAGTTCTGTCTTTGGATTGATTCTCATGTTCTTTTTGTTTTATGTTCATGTTTGTTTGGATTTCTATGTAATTAAATTTTCCGTTTAAATTCCCACAGAAAGCGGAAATCGCTGTGGCCCCTTTGACCATCACGCTGGTCCGGGAGGAGGTGATTGATTTCTCCAAACCTTTCATGTCACTTGGAATTTCCATTATGATTAAGAAGCCCCAGAAGTCTAAACCGGGGGTTTTCTCCTTCCTGGACCCGTTGGCCTACGAGATCTGGATGTGCATCGTGTTCGCCTATATCGGTGTGAGCGTGGTGCTCTTCCTGGTCAGCCGCTTCAGCCCGTATGAATGGCACACCGAGGAGCCCGAAGAGGGCACCGACGGTCCGCCAAGCGACCAGCCCCCCAATGAGTTTGGCATCTTCAACTCTCTGTGGTTCTCCCTGGGCGCCTTCATGCAGCAGGGCTGTGACATCTCCCCCAGGTAACACACACTCACACACTTTTGAACCAAACAGCATTTCCTCCAAACTCAACATGGCCCCTCGGGGCCTTTTACGTGACCTCCAGATAAATTCAAATCCCAGTCTGACATCACGTGAGCCTGCATTGTGCAAACGAAGTACCGGCTCGCTGAGTGTCGTGTGCCTAACCCCAAAATTCCACTATCTCAACTCCGCCCCGCCCTCCGCAGCCGCTCGCTTCCGAACTCAAATTATACTGTACCCGCTCTACAACGCTCCGCTCCGGTGCGGAGACCTGAGGTGCGCAAACAGGAATGCGCGGGATTTTCGAGATCTTGCGATACAGTCCGAGCAATAAACACGGAAGTTAGATCCAAACACCCGTTGTGTGGGAGAAGCATCGAAATGAACTGTTTGATCCGCCCATCATTTGTGTTGAGAGATCAGCAGTGCTTGGATCAACACAGGGTGACTACTTTGATAGTAGAAACTGTATTTATGGCTTACTTTTGTGCATTTAAACTTCAGCCGCCATTGATAGTTTTTAAAAGTTGTTAAACCTGTGCATATGAAACAAAAAACACCTTTTGTTTATCGATTTATTGTGAAATAACGGTAGTTGTGCTTGCTCCCTTTCCTGTTGGGCGGTTGTGATTCCTGTCCATTGACTGCGGAGGTGCACCGCACGGCCGCAGTAGTGGAACAGCTCTGATTGACTACAATGGGACCGATTTTGCTGCAGAGTTCGTGCCGGAGCGGAGCGGAGATAGTGGAATTTTGGGGTAAATCCTGTCCCTGTCGATGAAACTGGGGCCGGCATCAATGTTTCAAACGTGTGTGATGGATGTAAACAGAAACTGAATGAATGTTGACAACCTGCTGTGAAGAGCAGCAGTTTGTGGCAGAATGGTAAAAGAAACGTCGACATCCTTGGCAGATGGACAAAGATGGATTAAAACCTACCATCTAAATCTTTACATTTTTAACCTAAAGGTGTCATCCTTTCCAAAAATGTTGGAATTATTCCTTTAAACTGGAATATTTTACACATTTTTCCTGTTTATTAGTTCTAAAATATTACTAGTTTGCATGATTATGGTTCAGGTGCATTGAACAGTGGTATTAAGTAAGATGTGTTTAGTGTGTGTGCTTTTATCTGTTGCTTGGTAATACTTGCTGCCGTGTGCTTCAGCTGTGGTCTTGTCCCTGTTTTTTGGTGTGTTTGATGGAGAAAGCCTCTAAGGGTGTTAATTTGCGTCTTCGTTCTGTGGCCCGTGTCCGTTGTGCTTGAGTCTGGTCGAGTCAGTCGGTGTGTCTACGTGTGCATCTAAGTCGATCTACAGTAATAAACGTGGAGCCTTTATTCGAGGTTGCATGTACATTAGAAAAGCAAATTCTTGAATGAAGTGCGACATGCACCTTTTCACGTCAGCATTCTTCCGGTTAGCATACAGTAACATAAATAGTAAACAAATGCTGGCAGGAGTTAAAACAGGATCTTCACAATGGCACAGCTTATTTAGTACGTACTGTACTGGTTGATGGTTTTGTACGCGTCCACTGCTTCTGCTGTTTCATTCCAGAAGGCGAGTGTCCAACCGGTCACAGCTCGACTGAGCCTTTTACATTCAGAGGAAGTCTGGTTCCAACTGCATTATCTGGGTTCTTCAGCCCGATTAGAGCCAGTTCTTCTTCAGCCTGACTAACATGTTTACATGCATTTAAAAAAACATCAGTCTATTTAAGCCAAATGTTTGGGCTCCCAAATTTCAGCCTGTCAGTTTGGTTTTCTCACACTGCATGTAAACAAACTATTGCCTTGGTCCGGCTGAAGTTGGACTTTTAAATGCACGAATACACCTCAAGTAAAACTGAACTAGACTACTTATAATCAAGCTAAGGCACCCAGATAGTGATGTGGTTAGATAACCGAACTACTCCGAAATTACAAAAGCATGGAGTACCCGCTCCAGGTGGGCTCTTGACAGCATAGGCTTGACTTTTGCAAGGCGTCTCAGGTGAAAGAAACTGGACCGGATCACAGAGTTGATGTGAGCATCAAATTTAAATCCAGCGTCAATTTTCACACCCAAACTGGTGACAACTGGTTTTGAGTAGGGAGAAAGAGGGCCAAGATCAACGTAATGACCCACAGCCCTGCTGTTGGGGTGAAAAACAATGAGCTCTGTCTTTCCCTCATTCAGATGTAGAACGTTGGCCATTAGCCAAGACTTCACCTCGTTAATACAGGACACAAAGGACTGGATAGAGTGACCTTTCTCCTGACACAATGGAGAGGAACCCCCAAATTCCACTACCTCCGCTCCGCTCCGACACGAACGCCGGAGCAAAATCGGTCCCGTTGTAGTCAATCAGAGCTGTTCCACTACTGCGGCCGTGCTCCGGCAGTGCGGCGCCGTGCGCCGCCCTCTGTTCCGGCGTCCGGCAAAAATAGAATCGATCCTATTTTGGCCGGACGCCGGAGCACCTCCGCAGTCAATGGACAGGAATCACAACCGCCCAACAGGAAAAGGAGCAAGCACAACTTCCGTTATTTCACAATAAATCGATAAACAAAAGGTGTTTTTTGTTTCATATGTACAGGTTTAACATCTTTTAACAACTTTCAATGGCGGCTGAAGTTTAAATGCACAAAAGTAAGCCATAAATACAGTTTCTACTATCAAAGTAGACACACTTTGTTGATCCAAACACTGCTGATCTCTCAACACAAATGATGGGCAGTTTAAACAGTTCATTTCGATGCTTCTCCCACACAACGGGTGTTTGGATCTAACTTCCGCGTTTATTGCTCGGACTGTATCGCAAGATCTCGAAAATCCCGCGCATGCCTGTTTGCGCACCTCAGGTCTCCGCACCGGAGCGGAGCCGTTGTAGAGCGGGTACAGTATAATTCCTGTACTCCTGTTGTGGAGATACAATCTAAACCAATCCAGAGCAGACCCTATGATCCCAACCCATCGTTCCAAGCGATCAAGTAGAATCGCGTGGTCAACTGTGTCAAAAGCTGCCGTCAGATCTAACAACAGAAGCAACACAGATGTTCCCTGATCTAGTGATAGATAGATGTCATTTAAGACCCTCAGTAGAGCCGACTCTGTGCTATGGCCAGACCTGAACCCTGATTGGAAAACCTCAAACAGATCAGAGTCAGCTAAATGTGAGACCAGCTGCTGATAAACGACTTTCTCAAGCAGTTTAGATGTAAAGGGCAGGGTAGAGATAGGCCTGTAATTGTCTATCACAGAGACATCAGCACCAGGTTTCTTCAGGGTCGGCCGGATAACTGCTGCTTTCAAAGCAGCTGGGACCACGCCTGTGCTGAGGCTCCCATTGATAATCTGACCAAGTGAAGGGCCAAGACACGGAAAGGCAGCCTTCCAGAGACGAGGCGGCAGAACATCAAGTGGAGAGCCAGATGGCTTCTGCCTCGCAACTAGCTTACTCAGCTCAGAGTATGAAACTGTATTGAGGGAGCTCAGGGTGGGTGGTGATGGATGAACTGGAACAGGGTCAACGGAGTTACAAGAAATGACTGCTCTAATGCCCGACACTTTATCAACAAAGAATCTGTGAAAAGCTTCAGAGTTTCCAGCAGCTGTAGGAGACATGGTGCTAGGCTCCTAATACACCAGAACAGAGTTTAGTGTTTTGTAGAGAATCCTGGGATTCATGGAGTTAGTCTCAGTGATGTCTGCAAAATAGGCCGTTCTGGCAGCCCTCACAGCATCCTGATAAGCAGCCAGAGATGCTCTGAACAACTCAGGCGAGACCTGTAGGCCATCCTTTTTCCACTTTCTCTCAGAGGATCTACACGCCCGCCTGCAAGCCCGTGTGACATCAGAGAGCCAAGGCTCCCTCCTAGGCCTAGACTTGCTAAGCATGAGAGGGGCAACCACGTCCAGGACCTGATTACAAAGTACATCAAAGTGTTGTGAATAGTGATCCACGTTAGATGGATCAGGGTTAAAGGTCTCTAACCTTACAGACATACAGTCCACAAACTTTGAAATAGTTTCTGCATCCAGGGCTCTGAACCTAGTAGCGGGAGCTTCACACACAGGGACGGGACATGGCAACGTAACATCACAGAGTATTGGAGAGCGGTCGGAGAACACAGGAGGCAAAGTCTCGAGGTTCATGACGGGGAGACCAAGAGAGAGAACCAGGTCCAGGGTGTGACCCCTGGCATGAGTTGGGGACGATACGACTGAGTCAAATTGAATGAATCTAGCAAATTCAAAAAGCCTTTAGCAAGCACATTGTCAGGACAGCAGATATGGATGTTACAATCACCAAAAAATAGGACATAGTCATATTTTAGGATACAGTCTGCCACAAGATCACAGAAATCATTAAGGAAGTTAGAGTCGGTCTTTGAGGGCAATAAATCAGCACAATGAGCAGGCGGGGGAAGATAACTTCTTTGGATCTAAAAAAATATTTGTAATTAGTTGATTTACTTTTAAACTTGAAATTTGTCCCCGAAGTAGCTGCTGGCTTCTCATCCACCGTCCTTTTGAAAATACTGCGGTGTATTCTGGGTAATTTTTGACCAAGGCTAGGCTACAAGACAACTCCCGTGTGTCCTTTCTCTGCTAGCTAAACGGCTAACAAACGGAGAACACACGCCGGTAGAACATGAACATTGGAACACGTCTTGGCGGCTCCTGATGATGTATCTCCTAGGCAACCGGGGCGGGGCCAAGACATCAAGGCAAGGTTCCTTGACATTGAGAAACACCCTAGATATCGCTGGCCCTCGTTTTATTTTTTGAGGAGAGAATGTAAGTACTGTTGATGAATGTAAAGGAAGTGTCCTGACCAATCACAGGCTTGCAGGCTCTGTCGCATTCGATGACAGTTAAAAACTGAGCGTGTCTCCCTCTCCCTCTGTGGGTTTGCCGCCGAGGCCTTGCATTGGCGCATCATGGCGTTGCTTGTCTCCGTAGAGACACAGAGAATTATAAATCGGGCTTGAAATGATCAAACAATACAG